GAAACCCAGAAGTACGACTTTCTAGTGAAAACAACCGCTATGTAATCGATTTGTTCCCGTAAAAAAACAGCTTTCCTTTTAAAGAGACATCTTTCTTCTTGGCCCTTTATTCACTACTAACAACTTTGTTTCGTACGCTGTTTAATTATGAGATACAAGCAAAGAAGCCTAGAAAAGGCTGTGAGCTAAGACACGTACAAATACACACCAATTCAATGCTTACTTAACCATAGCCAGCTCTTAGACAAGCAGCTCTACACTTCTAATGTGAGGCCAAAGAACTTGATTCTTTCTATTGCTGCTCCTTGTATCCCGATCTGTATTAGATCTATGTACGGGTACATTTGCATTTATTCTACGCGACAGGAATAGCCTCGCTCATTTACTTCGCTATCATTTTCCGCTGGAAGGCCTGTTGTCTCCTTTCCGTTCCGGTCCCCTTATATAATACCATTCGCAACAGACTTGTCCATTCTTCGTCAATGCCTCTCTATCGTTTCGGCCAAATTGCCGTCTTTCAGCCCCCTATCCACTCTTCCCACGCTCCCGTTCCTAAAACAACTGCTTCGGCCGCTTCTGCTCCAGGACGTGGCCTCTACCGGCGAAACCGTTGAAGCAACGATGAGGGCCTCAAGAGGATGGACAGTGGAGAGTCGTGATGAGAGTCTTGATACGCCAACGAGATATGATGAGATACCCAAACGCGGCTTGCTCTCTAGCTCTGACTCGAAATCGAGCAAATGACGCTTCCAACTTAGTCGGTGGACACTCACGCCCATGGTAGTTAAGTCAATTTTTACTGGTACTGCCACTGCTGCTGTCTCGCTGTGTTGTCCTCCGAGTAAAAAAGTAACTGGCCAGCGCCAGCCGTCCTTGCTTACGATAGCGGTATCATTGTTGTCGACGTTGTAAAACGCGGCGGTGGCGGCCACGCTTGGCAGCGAAGACAAAATCAGGCGTATATGGCTACCACCACGCTACACGCTACCAGTTAACCGTTACTCGTTAGGCCCGCTTACTTGCTGTTTCGCATAGGCTTGGCGCCACACCGTTTGCGTAGAGAAAGGCTGACAAGACACGATTGCAGCACCCGCATAACCGATGGAATAACGAGAATAGCTTTGGCGGCAACTGCAGTGACAGCAGCAGAAGTGGTCACAGCAGCGATGGAGCAGTAACGCCTGAGAGACCAACCGAGCTGGCATTATTAATTTGGTATCTTTCTTAGTGGTGTTCCTTGTGCTCTAACCAGCACATAGATTATTTTTATAGAACGACGGACCAACGCTGCCTGGGTTGGCTGGCCGACCCGTTCGTTGGCGAAGGGACCAGAAAACGTCGCTTGCCATCTTCGGTAAGAAGTCAACCCGCCCCCAAATATATCATCGATGGAGATCGTTTGATCAGGAGCTCGGCGAGATTGGGGCAAAGCTATGGCTAGAGCTGGCGGGCAGTGCATGGCAGAGGATGTGGTTCGAAGGTTTGCAGTGGAAGCAGCAGGATCCGGGAAAACTCTGCAAAGAGGGCTTCAGCAGCATTGGACGGGACGCGATGGGACTGTGAAGGGGAATGTCAGTAAGTAAAGGATAGTGAGATCGGTTAGATAGAAAAACGGTAGATCAAGATTCGGTCACGTTCAGCCAACGAAAATGCAAGCAAGTGAGGACTAAGGGTAGTCGTAGGGTGAGTTAGGAGAGAGAGAAAAAGAGAGAGAGATCTTTAACAGCGCCTTATTGAAGGACGACGAAAACGAAAAAGAAAAAGCACTGGCGGTAACGGCCGCAGGAGATATAGGCGAAAAGCAAGAGGAACAGAAGAGGCACGAATACTTCTCCATTTTGCTGTACCCGGCACACAGTAACAGTGCTGGTAACTCTGATCTGTTCTTCCCATGGTCGGCTGCCACTAAAATTCTCCTTTTGCTTTCTTGTATTCGTCCGCGCTTCTCTACCCCAAGCTTTACTTCTTTTGCAGAGCCCAACATAAGCGGACATCTCATATCTCATATATCTTTATCTTATTTTCGCAACTGGCCTGTGACCGCTCTCCTCAGCTGAGTCGACAGTCTCTTCATTTTCCTTCTGCTCCTCGACTCATTCTGGCTTTTATATAATAAATAATAATAATAACAACTTTTGCCCGTTTCGTTATTTACCACGCTTAGCAGCCGATCTAGTCAGCAGCGGTGTCGATCGACTCAGTATGTGAGGCTGCTGAGTGTGGTGCCTAATGCTGCACGGCAGACTCTTAGTGCCCCTATATCCACGCTTCTTCGGGGGTGGACCAGAGAAACGGGCAGCAGTGCAGCGTCATAACTGCTATAGCATCACCAGCAACGGCAACGGCATGCATTGGCAGGCTGCTGGCTTTTGCCGACTAAATGTGTTCGTTTATCTCATTTATCAGGGATATTGATACGGGGACTCTCAGCGTCGTTCGGCCATCGGTAACACGGCTGAGTTTGACCGGGTTTACTCATGCCTGCTACGCCCAGCGACACCGTCCGCTGCCTACGACACTCAGTGACGGTCAGATGCGGGTCTTTGGTTTTCCAGCGGAAAGGACAATGGGTGCCCGAGAAAGCCGCTATGGCTGGTAGCAACAGTCTAAAATCGCTAGGAAAAGTGGGCAGAAACGGTGTCGGCCTTCTCTAGAGCTCGCACTAGGCCAGCAAGGGTGGTCGTTGTAAGATACAGAGAAAAAAGGTGATAGAATGTGAGAGGAAAAGACAGACAGGATGAGCAAGTATGGAAGCCCGCGGCAACCCCATTGGCAACAACGAGAGTTGAGCAGACAAACCCATTACCTGTCGTTGTTAGAACTACTATAGGAAGGAAAGCCGCCGGGATGCTAGCTAGAATAGGCAGCGCCTGTCAGTCGACGATGATGGCAAAGGTAAAACCCACATGACTATCCTAACTGACCTTTCGCTATCGAACGTTGCCGCGCAGAGAACGCAGACGCCTCTCTGAATGTCTCACGAGAAGAAAGTTCATGTGTGAGTAGTCAGAGGATAAGGCCAAAGAACAGGCCAAAAGAAACGGAAACAGAAGGATACGGTGAAATAGAAAAAAGGTTGATGTGCTGAACGACTGACATCGGATCTGCTACGTCCGCATCAGGAGAAGCTGAAACTAACACAATGAGCGGGACTATAAGAGATAAAGGAAGAATCAGGGAGAAGCAGCCATTGAATCATCTATAATAGCATGAGCAGCAACAATACTAGCATTAATTTCATCATTACCATTCATTGTCCTGTGATGAATCATGTTCTGAAACTCGATATAATCAATGAACTTTACACAAAAAGAAAGCGTAGAATGTGATTTTTTTTTTTTTCAATAAACAGTCGGTACCGATTATGTAGTAAAATCGAATAATATAGCGGTACTCATTTTTTTTTCGATTTATTTCCGTAAAATTGCAAATTACCATGTACCTATTAATATGAAATGTCCTCTGGAGTTCGACAGAGACCAACGCATAAAATACTGACTAGAATATTATAACAAATATCTATAACTGAATAAAAATACCTATAATATCATAAACATACCTAATATATCTAATACAATAAACCTATGCGATGTTTACAACGTATAAACTGACAAACGTACAGATCTTCTGGTGTTTTTCTTCGGCTAAGCGAAGTAGCTCTGTCGTCTGCTTGATAAGTTAGTTATTATTGGGTTCGTCACGACGTGACATAAACAGCCTGTTCCTTCTAAATAGATGTCCCCAGAGAGAACGAATCAGCAGTCACTGCCGGCCTCGCGCAATCATCCGATGGACGCCGCTCTGCAATAGCGGTACACACGTATATGCGACTCATTGTACCTGCTGTCTTCACTTTTTTCATATGACAACTAGCGATAGGCCATACGTTGTAGAACGTGCATCGCCCTCTTGTTGCAGGCGGCCACCGCTGTTCGAGGACCGTTACGTAGCCTCGAACTTGGTCCGCCACGTTCCGAAACCCAGTTTTCGCTTTCTGTGTTTTATCGTTCTGTTGTCACTTTTGCTTGTGTCTCTTATCACGTGGTCCGTATCGGGTGCGTGCTGCCACCGAAGTCAAGAGGCCACCGATACAAATGAGAGGCGATTCAAAAATGATACACGGTGCGTCCGCAAAAGGCCATAGAACGATTCCTACGACCACCGTCGCTATCACGTCCTGCGTTCCTTTTCGTCCAGTCCTATCAACCGGGGCGCTTCGGGAACTTTGGGACAAAAAGGGAGAGAGAGAGGGGGCGAGTCAGATAGTGAAAGAACCAACAGCAAGACCAAGTCGGGCCAGATACTCGACAGTGCAAAGGGACACTGCTATCGTTGTTGTCTGTATGCCTCGCCGTAAGGGCTCGATGGCAGAAGCAGACAGCCAGCGACACCGCGACTCTGGGAGCGTCGTGATAATGCCATCAGCCGCTTTCTCTTTCTCCTGCTTCATGGTCGTTCCACGTTGTGTAAACCAACAAACCACCGAATTCTCCATGAGCAGAGAGTCTCTTCGACGTCGTTCACTGACTGTTTCCGCGAACCCCTCCCGTAGCGGCGGCCACGGTTCCGCGACCACCACCGGTCCTTCGGCCCTGCCAACACCCAGTGGGCTGCTGATGCTACGATGTGGACGCCGACTGATTGTGGTCATAAAAACCAAACTGCGATAAAAATTATCATTTGTAACAATTAGAAGCACCACAAACGCCGTAGCTTCTGCCACTACCGTTCGACCATCGTCGTTGCTGATGGAGCTGGACAGAGGGCAGCAGCAGCAGCAAGATCGTGAAGGAAAAAACAAGATGGAAAATGCCTGACAACAGCAGTCGGCCGAAGGGCGGCAGCCGAGAGATCTACAACAACAACCGTTGGGAGAGTGTGACAAACAGGCAGACAAGAGAGCCAGGGAAAAGGAAATTTTGAGAGAGAGAGAGGGAGGGAGAGAGAGATAAGTGGAAATTGAGTAAACAGTGAGAAGCAGACGACACACGAGGATCCTGAATGGTTGAACAAAACAAATCTCTAGTCTTACAGCGTTTGCGCTACCAATGCTGAATCAATAATGAGAAAAACATAAGCAGTTACTGGTACCCGATACTCTGGTAAAGTGGGCGTAAGGAAACTAAATTTGGTTCCGGTGGAGATCCTATGGCGAGAAAACATATCGCCAAGACGCCGCTTTCTGATGTTCCATCAGTGTCACCAAAGTGCACAAAAACAGAAAAGAAAAACTCCAACCCCTGGATAATTTTTCGAAAAGAATCTCCAATGTGTTCTATTCATTCACAACTGACTTTGCTAACAATGACGCCCTCGTATAATCAGAATCATAGTTATCCCTGCTGTCGTACCTTTAAGTGATGACCGTTTTCGCACTCGAAATTATAAGTAATCATTTGCTAGCAGTCTCTTTGTACGGTATCTACTGCCGTACTATATCCAGCAAACAGCCCATTCTAAAGATGGCCATGTACCTTACGGTGCGACGAAAATGTCACGGTAAGATAACTAGCACACTTTGTTTAAAAACTAAGACACTTGGTTTTTTCTCTTATTTTTGTGTTATATTGTCCAGCATAATAGAAATGACTAAGTAATTGACTTAGTAGTAGTGAGTAACTGACCTAACAACGTAATGGAAGCAAAATTCTTTCCTTTCGTACCATTACAAAAGAGATATACAATGGTATCAGAGGGCACCATTCGAAAATCAAATAAAAGCCTATCCAATATCGGAGCATTTATTTTATTCCGCTTTACGCTGCAGGCTCAATGTTGTCACGACGGAGGTTAACGCTTAGCCATGCTACTACAAAGTTACCCGCATTGTAGATGAGAAAATCCAAGAATCCAAAAAACAGTAGCATAATACAATTCACTGCCAGTCGGCTTTTTAAGAAAAAAATTTTCACTCGTATCTGCCGTTTGCCTATAGCCAAAGCTAGTTTGCGCTTCGTCCGATGAATGTTAATTTTGGTTAAGTGTTTATAAAAGACATAGTCTCGTGCGAAAAATGACCACCACATGTCGTTATCCTTAATCAGTTTATATAACAATCGAGGTACCTGACCATGGCGCTGCCATATTTTGTTTCATTCCACTTCTCGGTAATAATATCTCGCAATAAGTTAATATAACTAACCAATAAGGAACTTTTTCTTTTGCATATATTTGATACAGAGTCATCAACCATTCGAGCTCTTAAAAGGTTTAATTTTATGTATACTTATAAAATTACTTAGCAAAAATAAGATTATTTACGTTGGGGTATTTAAGAAAGGTAATCCGCACCATGATTACTTGTTGTCATCTTTTAGGGAATCGCATGTGAAGCATACCTCTATGGGACAACAAGGAAAATGATGCGGGATTCGAGCTTCATTCGATAAGGTTGGCAGACGTCATGAAGATATCACTACTGCGTTCTTTTTTTTGTTTTATTATTTGTCATGCTAAATATATTGATTGATAGAACGACGCCTAAAATATCAATACCTGAGCTGTTATTTCGAATATATTTGTCATATATCCGGAACAACGGCCTAGGCACTGTCGTTACGGAACGGCGTATTATTTATCCCCATCAGCTTCGTATTTACGAATATTAAGATGCAAAAATACTGGTATTTTCGTTTAGTCCATGCAGTTTAATGACTCAGCGAAAATTGTACTTAGCCTCGTTTCCCTTTGGCTCGTATAGGCGTCACAAGCGGATGTCGTACAGCCAAGCCAGGTACGATAACGGATCCGTTAACGGTAAACTGAGTCGTCACTTCGCTTTCATCTTGAAGTCATATGTTGCTTCCTTCCTTATCAAGAACGCTCAAGGAGTCCTTGCCTTCATTATTTCCTCACACCGTATCATTCACCGGCTTTTAGCAGTGCCGAGCGACTCCTGAGTCCTAATTTTTCGACCTCCTTTTCTTCTGGATCGTACCGCTGTCCAACGAAGATACCACATTCAGGACATAAGCCGTCAGCATAGCAGCACGATTTGGTCTAGAACCCTAATTCAGACTAGTCAGTTGGCAACGACCCACAACGCCCTACGCCCTACGCCCTGCGCTAATACTGCGGAGAGCCCCTTGGGTTGGGCGCCTTGCTTTCAGCGCGTTCACTATTGGCTCCTGACTATAACTACTAGCAATGCTACCCATAGCCGTAGAAGCAACGAGACGACCGTAACCTGTTGCATGTCTTATCGCATTCTTGCTTCTATCACTCCCTGCCTGCTACCATCCTGCCCCTTTTTAAATATTAACCACCCTTCGCTTAGCCTCGTTTTGTAATCTGCTACTTTATCTGCGTTAGTCTTGCCCTGTTCTGCGCTATTCTGTGCTCGCTCCTATTCCTGCCAGGTAAATGTTGTAGTTACTCGTGGCTGTCTGCGACCGAGCAGAAAACGAAGGGGAGCCCATGGAACTGGATGCCCTTCTCGTTTGGCTGTTTAACCTGTCCTTGAACGCCGGTAGTTTGGTGCGCGAACGAAGAGTTACGCGAGGGAAAAAGAAAAACGAGAAAGGAGAGCCACGGTTTTCCGCCAGAAGGAATCTGGGAAAAGATACCGGTCTATTGTATTGCTTCTACCGCTACAGCCATCGATGCTTCACATCGTATTCTTTTTCGTCTTCTTCCTCTTTGCGCTGGCAAAACCACTTGAAAAGATGAACGCCAACAACGTACTGTTACCTACAACAAGGAGAGAGCGACGTGCACAAGTAACTATGGAAGGTGAGAGACGAGCGGGATTGGTACGTGAACGCCGATCCTGCGAATGTCGGCTTGGTCAGTGACGGAGTCACGACGACTAGCGCCTTGCAATACAGTAACGAAACAAAGTTAGACGGCACACCTCTTAGATAACGATCAAAATAGATAATGTGACAATTAAATACAAGGAGAAAGCGCGTGGCCCAGCACATCAACGTCAAAAAAATCGAGGGCGCGTTGTATAGAAGGATAACCTAAGGCTGAGGAACAAGGTAAGAGTCATGGGTATCGTGTAGCTTTCTGTGGCAAAAAACTCTTGTTTAACTTGCTACTCAATCAAGCTCCTTCTAATAGACTATAGGTACATAGACGTGCCACATACGACATAAACTGAGGCATAGCACATGTGGCCTGTATTTGCCCGTGACTGGTTTTGAACCATGATGCTGATCAAGATTGAACTTAGCTTCGCTGACTTTGCTGCAGATAGAAAAATCGTTTACGTTGTCCAAACAACTTTCCAGAAGCGTTCAGAACACTGTATCCTACATACTCTCGTATGAAACAGAGAATGGTATGGAAAAAGAAAGGTCGTACGCGTCATATGTATAACAGGGAAACAAAACGCTCAAAGCGATAAAAACAAGCGTACCAGCAAAGCAACCTAAAATCGCTGCTAAACCGTTCACCGGCAACAATGACTAGTCAACATTAAATTTTGAAAAATATCCTACTCTTCTACTGTTAACAGGTAACCGAGTATTGAAGATAAGCAAAACCTATCATACATTTCGTGCTCACCTCTTATCAAGCGCCCACAAGATAAAGTTGCGGCCGGTAGTGCTTGAAGGCGCATTTTGTGCCTTTCATATTTTTTTTTTTGAAAAGTTCGACACATTACATGTACGCAATACAGAATAAACAATTTTCGATTTCTCAAGGTCTGCAGCCCAATTATCCCCATGCGCGTGTATTTTTGCAGGGCAGTTGGAAGAAATGAGAAATGCAAGCGCTGGTTGGGCTGATCGGGAACTAACGCTGCAACAAAGCAATGGTTTCAGGATTCTGTGTGTGTGCCAAGTGTGAAACAAGGATTGTCAGAGGATATAAGTTTGGCGTACTCTTATTACGCCTCCTCTGATTCTTAAATTTCTAGAATAACTGTTCTGGCCGAGGGGTCGAAGGCTTCCGATGCCAGCGCCGTCTATATATTCCGTTCATGCTTTTGCATTAGTTCGTACCCCAGTCGCATCTAGCTACCTCTGGGTGCTTAGTTTCCTCCTGCTGGTATTGCAACCGTTCCTGGTACGATTACAGTGATGGCTATTGCTCCTGCAGCTTCTGCTTTTCTGTACTTGACATTCATTGTAAAGAACCTAACGCCGAGAAAAACTGGGCATCGTAACTCCACTTGGTGTACCGCCTCTTAAGACTTTAAAACAAACCCCCCAGTAGAGCCTCTTCTTAGCTTCGAGCATAGACGGAGCTTCGCGTACACGCGTTCTGGGTCGTTCTTCTTGGTATTACCATAGTCCGTCACGCCGCAGGAGTCAGTTAAACACAGGAGCTAAAAATAATAAAAGAAGAAAGAAAAAACGATAAGTAAAGAGGCGACGTAAAATGGACCAAAGAATGGAAGAGGGATACAGAGAGCGAGAAGGCACGCTGGAAGGCGGGCAGGGGGCCACCTAGCAAGACACCGTAAAAATGATTGCTTAACCCAATCCAGCTTACCAAGGGCAACATGTTACGACCAGAAGCAGCACAGAACAGACTCAAGTAGTTGCCCCTACCAATATCAGCAACAGGGGCAAAGCAGAGAGAAAACAGCCCGCGAATACCTTACAACCCGCTGGTTGACTGGCTAAACAGAGCGCCTAGTTCAGCGGAATCACAATCATATATTATTATGTGAAGGAAACGACTGATACTCAATGTGCGTTAACAACAATGGCTCGACAGAAAGAATAACAACGATTCAACAACAAAAACCGACTTGAAATATGAACTGGAATCAAACCCTTCGCCGTTCCCTCTACATTTCGAATCCTTCGGAAAATGTTAGAAGCGTATTCACTATTACCCCGCGCGAACGCCCAGCAAGCACTGGGGCTGGAAGACGGGGAAGGTAGTGTTAGCTAGCGTCCTTTGAGTAGCTGGGTGGAGGCGGAGTTAGGTAGTTTAGCTGGTTATAACAGGTTATCTAGTTTAAGTTACCAGGAATCTAGCAAGTTGGCCAATAACTAGTTCAATGGTTGAAATGAGCATTCCAACTAAAGGCTCAATCAAATGCACGAAGGATCTGGCTGAAGGGATTCTGTATGTTTCCTGAACGTCGTCTCCTTCGTCATACATTTTCGTACGTGTAGGTGACTCCGTCAACGTTTTTAGATGTGTTTTTTCAAGCTATCTCTTCCTTGCCTTCTATGGCGCTAGAAGCGACTCGATTGAATCCGACTACAAAGGGATCGAACGGCTTCAAGAAGAGCTGTAGGCAGAAAGAAGAGAGATGGAGATCGGTAATGTGAGATAGAGGGAATCTTTTGTTCGGTGAGAGAGCAAACATTGTTATTGTTATTGGCATATTCACAAGACTTGAGCGAGCAGCGAGTCGGAGCGCCGGCGGCAGAGGCGAAAGAATTCCATGGGGCGGTTGATTTGTTGGTTTGCTGAACAATTCGAAAAGAGCCAAGCGAAGTAGCAGAAGCGTCGTGGAAAAGTCGAAGTTTCAGCAGGGGGTTCTTTCAACTTCGTTAGGGGCTTGGGATCGGGGTTCAGCTGCGGTGGAGAAACTCCAACTGCGATTGCGACTCTAGCGGCCTTGTTCCCGATCAGCTCAGGGCGGTTCTTTTTTGGATGACAAAGTCCGCTTTCCAAGGGTTTTCATTCGTTCAAACGGAACAAGAAGCAAAAGGGTAAAAGGATCACATAGATATTGCTCCTCTGTCCATCTAGGATTAGCGAATCCCATGTACACAGTCTCGAACAGGCAGTAGAGCGCTACGTGTTTACGTCGTGAGTTTCCTTATATTAGATATTGTGTTGAATCATTAAGCTATGTGAAGACATCACTAACTACAATTTAATTTTACCTGTCTATCTATGCGTGTTAAAGAAATCCGTCCTGTCGAAACATCCAAAATGAATTGAGCACCGCCTACGAATTTTACGGCAATATGTTATATGAACTGTAAAATGCCGTGATCTAACACACGCGCTCAGGTTCTAAATCATGTATAAATTTGTCAAGCTACTTCGGTTTTAAACCCACTCAACCTTGGTGTATATATATCAACGCATTCGTCCATCCCAGTCTCATTTCCGTCCCAGTTTTATCTTTTTAGAGGTATCAGAAATGTTTAATAGCACAATGCCGCTTTCTAACTTTTTAAAGGAGTTGATTGCGGCGGCGAGCGTCGAGTAGTAGATCGAGCTACCGAAACTACGTCCTCGAAACTGTCCCTTCGTACGGCGATGTACCAACACCGTAGTATGTATACGCACGAAAGGAAGAAGGACACATGCGACGATGCGTAAAGTTCAACGAAATTCGGCTAACAGACAAGGCAACATCCAGCTGCATCAGCTTCTGCCACTTCTTTCGGGAACAAACAAAAAATCCGTATTTTTTATTAAAATGATGATGAAAGAAAAACAGCAAGCGATTAAGCGACAAACGAATCCGTACAATTATAACTGGTGCGAAGTTGAGATTTTATAACTGTTTATATAACGAAGTCATTGCGTTTAACTTGCAGTTATTTATCCTGGTGGTGAATTGGCGCAATGAGTGCGCAGGTACATGTGTCCCACACCCCGCATGTGTCTGTAGCATGAACGTCTGCCGTCAATAATGCTACTGGAGCATCTCACACGTGGCCAAATACGAAAACGTTAGTTTTCCCCTGATAACGATTCATTTAGGCTCTGTTTAGCCTAGCTGCTGTAAAGAGATGGTTCACTTACATCTACTACGAGAGTCGGACATGGTAGGCTTCTCGAGCGCATTTTTACTTTGTCTTTCTCTCTATTTTTCGCTATCTATCTTCGCTACGCTTACGGTCATATGCCAACAAAAGAGGGTAACGAACGAGACAGTGAACCGAAAGGTACCGACAAAAATTTAAAGCTTTCAACTCATGCTTCTGACTAACTCATCTTGACATTACCCTGCTACAGTATCACTTCGACCACACTTCGAGTCCGGATACTATGCTTATTCGTCGGTGTGACGTAGATATGAGCTCAGGGGGGGAAAGATAGAGAGAAAGAGACGAAGCGAGCACGCGACTGTGCTGTTGTATTGGATGGGGAAGACCCAGAGTGGACTTCGTCGCTGCGGAAGAAAACCGGCGGAGCCGAGCACCGGAGTAGCTTCAACAAACTAACTCAGGCGCAAAACAGAGCGGCCGGCCAGGAATCCAGATCCAGGAGTGGTCGTATCTATTGAAGGCGTAAAAAACTAGGGGAATCGTACTACTACGCAAAAGCAACGACCCATGAAGCAAATAGGCGCACGTGGCTGGATAATCCGCCGCTAAGGGATGACTACGCCATAGGCCGTCACTGCTTTACCGTGTTAGACGCCGAATAACAGCTTGCTCAACGCAGAAAATCATCCTCGCTTTTTTGTCGGGGGCACAGGCGACTTTGTCTTCTTCTTATGTTTTTCCCATTTTCATCGAACCCGCGAACCCACAAAGCAGCTCGACCGTAACACCACGGGCGGACGCTAAACTTTGTCTTTTGTTGGCTGCTTTTGGGTGATGTGCGGTATCCCTGACTGACGTTGCCACTACCTCCACCCTGTGGTAGCCATACAATAACTGGCCTAATCTTCCTATACTGTTCGCTCTCTTTCCTGGCGAGACATTGTCGGTATACGGTTATATCCAGTATAACTAGTCGCCCTAGCCGGATTAGAATATCAAAGGCAGGACCACCGCCTCCTTGGCCAGAACAGGTCATATCCTGGATGTTAGTTTAGTCCCTCGCAAAATGCTGCCACTGGTACTGAAGAACAGCGACTGGAGTGTGACAGTCGATGAGATGGCTGACGTCCACTCGCATTATTCCCAATTCCCCTACGTCCCAAAATTCTGCACGTCTCTCCCTAATCTGAATCAACCTGCTACCCAGCTAAACCAAAGATTCATCAGCTATAGCAAAAGAAACAACGAAGCGACGAATCGGTGATGAGCAGTGGCCGATCAGCCGACCAGCTCGGGCCCCGATGTGAGGACAACAACGGCAAAAACACATCGGAACGCTTACACAATAGAGAGGCGAGCCCGTAAGAAATGGGCTTGGCAGGCTTTTTTGTCCCGTCTCCCATTCCTGGCGTAGACCCGGCTGCCTAGGAGTTTCTCCTCCTTCTGGCTAGCTCAGGCAGCTGAATTCCGCTGACCGTGTCGTTACTGGCACTGACACCCTGCTATGTTGCTACTATTATGGTGGTGCGATTTCCGCAGCTGCAGCAGTGGGTTCTGCAGCTGCCAGTGAATCTGTGCGCTGGTGTGATACGCCAGGTCAACCTATAATGAAATAACAGGAGACCGAAAAGGAACCATTCATAGCAGTAGAGTTCACTCGCTGAGCGAAGGCAGACACCGAGACGGGGAATGGTGGAAGGAGGGGGCATAGGAAAATGAATATGGAGAAACGACCACGCCGAGCCACGCAATATTATCATTATTCTACATGAAAACAATTTTGCTGTTGAAAGCGAACCGTCTTTATACCTAGTAGTAATAACAATAATGATAACAATGGGAAAATCGAGGCTGACAAGGACACACCCATGCTAGCAGCGTAGAGAGCCTAACAAATTACGACTACTCATACTTATTGTAGAAGCCCAAAAGTAAATTTGTTTCGGTGCGAATTTTCCAAAATAGATTGGAACTGGTCAAGTCGTTGGTAGAAAAATTATTTCGTGCGATATACGCAGCGCCTTGAAACCATTTGAAAAGTTTCCCGGGAGATGTGCGTATAGAGGAGCTTGACAATTCAGTTTCGGAAGAGATCCGTTCTGGTGTATGGTTTATGAGGAACCTCATAAATGCTCGCATGCCTTATTCAGTTAAACAGTGAAGACTTTTTATCCTGCCTGCAGTATGTGTCCTTGTACGAAACTTATTCGTGTTTATTTGATGTTCAAGTTGCCACAGCATCGATTTCTTTAGCTATCACTTTGCATTAAATATACTTTAGTTACTAAAAAAAATATGCGAAGCCTAGGACAACAATTAAGAAAAATCGAAAGAAAGTTATTTGAAAATGGCTACCTCTAACTGTGGTTCGCAGAATTCTGCATGTTTCATACATGTGTCACCGTCCAGTCGATCAAAACTTTGAAATAATAAAATCAATAAGTTAGCAATAGATTTAAAATTTCAAATTGGAAATTACTTACAAAACTATTTCGTTACATACATATCTGTCGCGGCCTTGCCCCGTCGTGTAACACTTCGTCGACTGTCCCGGCCAAAACACAGCTCAGTCGAGGATGAAAGTTTACATCAGTGAAACAGATCACATTAAATAACACATGCGCGTTCACTCTATCTTTTACACTCAAATAAATTTACGTTATATTTATTTACATGTTGCCAATAGTCAACAGCGTCTCATACGCGTGATAACTAAGTATAAATATCGTGTTTGCATGTGATCTTGACGACTAAGGCTGTGAACCAAACGTCTTCTTTTCGTTTCTAATTTCAACCCGTTTTCCGTCCCATTCCAGATTCGTTTTCATGCAAAAACATACCCTAAATCAGCGTTATTTTGGGGGCTAGGTAAATTGCCCAATAGCTTGCATGACTCGAATTTAGCCAGACGAAACCGCCAGAAGAAACCACCTTCGTATAAGCTCTTACATAAGTTATTCACTCATAGAAGTGATAGTGATACGCAGCATCGCAGCGTCGTGCAGCGCTATGGCAACGCAGTAGCTGGGAACGTTCGGTGCTTCGGAGCGAAGGATCTTTCCATAAGCACGATTGCATTAGCTTTCCGCCACCGTCGACACACGGCTGACGATATAATTTACAGCATACGTGCCGCATTGGTAGAAGCAGCAGTGGTCACATCAACTGCATAGCCAGTGATCGCCGTCGCCAAAGTTTACTCTGGTCGTGCGCGCGTACGACACCCGCCACCGCACGCACGGCGTGTGCCCGCATGCGTTCATAAGCCAAAAGACCTTTCCCCCTTCTATATGTATATGCTATGAATGTAAGTAAGATTTGAGTTAATACCGTACGTGAGGTTGGTACCGCAACGCTAACTGCTGGTGGCAGCTGCAGTGGCAGTGGTTACGACGCCGGCTATCAGCGTCGGCAGTTCCGGATTATTGTCACCACCATTTGCTGTTACATGGCCCAGTATACGAGATTTGAATATAAATGCTATGCCTATCTTGATAGACCTCGACGCTACAGAAAATTTTCCAGCCGTCTTACATCGCTTTCCCTTCCAACCAACTTGCTTGTTCCCATGATTTCTCTCCCCCTCCCTATGGTGATCCCATGCAATGGGTGCATGTCAAGTCTAATGTAATGCGCGCAACGCAGGCGCTGCACACCGTAATGACTTGAAATATCTATGCAGAGGACACCTTATGCTTTAGGAGCGAGCGGAGCGCTCACACTGGTGCTATAAACCGCGCTGGACATTAGCTTGTCCTAGGCAAGTCTCGCTAGAACCTCAGTTCTCCGGTTTCGGTTGGTCAAGCTTCAATCGGACTGTACGTTTCTTTAGTGAACATAAACGCGAGTATAACTAAGCTGACGCAGTATGGCAATAACTGAGAAAACGAAAAAAGTGGACGATGGACTGATGTCCTGCCGTTGCCTCAGGTGAAATCAGTCAGGAAACCGGAGACAGAATAGGGCAAGGTTCAGCACAAGAGCGAATAGTGGGCTGGCTTACTAAATGCGCTTATTCATTTTTCTAGTTCTTGATTAAAGGATCGCTAGTTTAAAAGCCGTTGCATTCTGAGCTGCAACAAAGTGTTGGGGGTGCCGGATTTGGGCGAGACGGAATCTGGCTAGCGCCTGTTGCAGGTGCAACATAAAAAAAAGGAAGCAAACATGAAAAATTTTCAGCCTTGGTGTGAAGCTCAAAAAAGAAAAATGAGGGAAGAAAAAGAATATACTGCTCTTCGTTTTTAGTCCTGGCCAGCTTTAGCTTTCATCCTGATGATTTGGAAGAGGGGCTTGCTTTCTTTCCTGTGACGCTCAGCTTTCACAAAATTACGTTCAAACGAAGAAATTTGATGCGATGCATTTTTTCCATCCCTAGCCTCCTCTCACCCCTCTTTGTAAACCCCCCGATTTAACCCCTCATTTTACAAAAATCACCGAATTTGACCTTCTCCGCAGGTACACCACATTAAACACTAACATCTTCTTTTTCTTTTTTCCAGATGAGCAGAACGTCGTTGACAGCTATAAAATCGGATACGGAAAGAGAATTTAGCCTGCTACATGCTTGAACATAAGCTAGCCTTCGCCAGACCTAGGCGACGCAATCGCCTTCTTCCTGCTCTAACTCAGAGGCGTCTGGGGTTAAGTCACTCAGAAAGAGTCCGATTGCCTTTAACTTTTAACCCAACTTACAGTTCATCAATTCAATAGCTACCTCCTTCCGACACGTAGCGCCATCAGTATGGTGGCGCTTCTGTTGAGATTCAGATACCTGCGGAGCCTCAAGAAAGCTTCCGGTACGACCCGCTGCTCGTTCCTAAACCCTAGCTCCGCTCCCGACTCGCCTTGGCCCTCACTCAACGCTGCGAATCGTTCCTCGTAAAATTTAATTAAGAGTTGCTCTTTAAGTTCAAGTAAAAGCGCATGCGGCGGTGAATGTTTCAAGAGAAGCTACAACAAGCAGGACGTACCCAGAACACCTTAAGCTTGTTTCAAACCTCGTCAACCGCTACGCCTCTGGTTGCACACGGACGGATTCGTCCATACGCTTCTTCCCATTTCTGTAAGCGACGCATCCCGTGCTAAAAGTCAATATATAATTTAACAGGCCTAGTCGCAGTAAAAGTAGTGGCGATTGATTTTAGCTTTGTCTTTGTCAGTAGCGAAGGGACCCAGTGGCGATGGGAGGCCCAGAACGCTGCTGGGGATCGGAGAGCTGGAGACCAAGCGTCGACGGGAAACCGAGTTTTGCAGGTTTCACTAAGGGACAGACTAATCGCGTTGAAAAAGTAAGAAGATAGAGGCCCACTCATTGTGCTGGGTTCATGACGCTCATGGGCGCCCTTGCTAGCACCCGATACGTGATAGGTCCATGGAAAAGGAAAATGATTGCAGAACTGCTTATACGCCCGTAGCACCTCGTGCAAGCCATTATACGCGTTTATGACGAAATGGTGTCTGTGACGTACACGTATTGCTGTGCGAGAAACGGATTATTATGTTTAGCGATTGTTAGCTCAGGCGGACAATTTAATTAAAGCTTCAATAAATTGTACGCGCGTTCTGCAATTGCGTAAATTCATCTCGTTCTTAAGTAAAATTTGCACACAATTGTATTTACAACAACATTTAAGCTTGGCATTAATTGTTATGTAGCAAATTCCTATAAGACCTATTATATACTTAGTCCACAATGTAAGATTAACAATATTTGACCGGCTTAGATAATACATAGTCGGCTTAAATCTGTATTCGTGCTTTGTGCAGATCATTGTTCTAACAGACAATGAGACATCATGATATAATCGTTTTCTAAGATTACAATTTTGTGAAGATCGTCATTTTTTTTTCCTCAAAAAAAGATATCTAAACAGTATGAGACATTTTTCTAATCTCGAATCATATGATGAATTGCCTAGCACGTTGTGCCTCTAGCTTATAAGCTCGTATAGTAATGGCAGTGAAGTAAGGCAAAACAGACCGGCGGCCGATAAAAGGTATACTGAAGTCTCCTAATTAAAAGGGCTCAATAGTGGCAAAACTGTGCGATCCTTACATTAATTCATCACTTATCTAACGTTTATGAAAACTCTCTAATTATAACTTTACAATAGGTAATATTGTATTACATATAAACTGGGGATTCAATATAAATTTGGCCCAAAATGCGGCTCGATTGAGAAATATAACAACTGATACAGTGGAAGAAATGAAAAGGTGGGTATGAAGTTGTGCGCGGAATAGAATGGATGATAGCGCTGAGGGCTAACGGGAAACAGAGAATTCTATCTGGTTAAGCAAACGCAAATCAATTAGTTCTGAAATTTATTAAAAATGTAAATTACTATGCCTTTTTTGTATTTTTACTATACCGTTCAAATATTCTAAATCATAAAGAAATGTATGTAAAAGACTTATTTGTGTGCATCCGAGGACGTTGATTAGAAAACCCGCTGCTAGCTCGTTGACAGAGTCAAAACAAATTAAACTCACGGAAAATGTTCATACAAACGTTTGTAAGAGAGCGCTCTCATATAGGTTCTTTAAAATGGCATTTAAAGCCGACTGAGATTTGGTAGCGGCTCAAAATTCAACGATCTTAGACAACACTCTTTCCAAAAGAACATAGCTCCATATTTCCAGCGTCCTATTAATACCGATACGAGAGATTTGGTAAACGATACTACATCCTACGGGTGGCAACATCTCGTTCATATGAAAAGAATACAATCAATGCTTAGCTAGCTAACTTTCCTACTTTTCTCCATAGTGACTGGTATATTCTATGAACACATTTCGCGAAATAAAATGGGTACTTAAAGCATTCTTCTCTTGAGCTTACTATAAAGCCTTTTACTCTGGTAGCAATTCCTGTTCTTTTGTTGTAATGTATCTACCGCGGGCTACCGTGTGGACGAGTGGATGACGACTAAAGCTGATCGCCGCGGTGAGAAAACGCTGGTAGTAGCCATGGTGACGGACTGCTTGTTTCCCATATTCCCCCATTTCTAACCCTTCGCTTTCAGCTTTGCCCCGCTTTCTTGGACAAAGTATGCCAACAGCCCAGTTAATGCTGTTGCCTTCCTGTTGCAAAAGTACACATAGAAGAGACGGGCGAGCGGGCGAGCGGTCCCCCATTTCGTTACTGGGTGCCCTCTGTGGAGCAGATGTTGTGACCAATATGTAATAGCGCTGGTAGCAGTAGGGTACGACATGATACGGCGCTTGTTGCCTTGCCCTACTTTGCCGATTCGGGCCTACCCTCAGTCAGTCAGTCAGTCGGTCAGCCTAACGGTAAAGCAGGTTAGCAGCACCAGAGCAGCACCAAGAAGCACACACGCACACTGGATCACGGTAAGATTTCTTTCCCTCTACACACCATCTAATCTCGTGGTCCTATACAGTCGTTGGTTTGCTGCGGTTCTGGTAGCAGTTGAACTATTGCAAATCTCGCCTGCCTTTTCTATTTTGTTCGCTCTGGGAGATGTCGAGCGAGCCTTCCTCTAGCAAACCTAGAAGCAGGCAGGACTGCAGAGAGCGATCTGGAGAGAAGGGCTGGATTCGCCTGTCGAAGCGCCCGCGGCGCGTGAATCGGATAACTCAATGAAACCAGCAGCATAAAGCAGGGTAAGCTCACAAGTGCAAGTGGAATAGTCTGGGTGGCAACTACTATAGACGACATACAAGTGGCAGCGCTGGCGGAAACTGGCTCCAACTAGTTACACGCATACACCCAAAATCGGCGTACGCATACTCTGGCGAAAATACAGAGAGGAAGAAACCTAGAGGAACCTGGTTGTAGTAAGTGAATGGGGACGAAAGCCTGGGCCGGCCACTTCGGCTAGCAATGTACCATCGAAGCTGGCTTAAGGCCGTTGGGGAACTTGGAAGATCTTTAGTCCACATTGGCATAAGAAAACCACGCCCTACCAGCATACCCAGTATACTGTAGCCTAGGCCCTATAGCTCTTCTCCGCACTCTGCCCCTGCTTTTCCGACCGATCGTCCAAATGAAACATGCATCCGATACAACTGCAATGCTTGCAACGAAACAGCGAACGAAATCGGTCCACTATTGCAATGGATAGAATCACATCCATAATAGAAGCTGGATTTAAAGCAACAGCATCGACTACTCCGCCATCTATGGCCGAGCACACATTTCGAGCCAAACCACCATCAGCACTTGGCGGACTCGACCCGCTTCCCAATATTCATCCGCTAAAAGAAAAAAAAGTCGTCTAGGAAATGGCGGATAGTCGAATAGAAAACGTGAGGGCCGGTGGTCGAGATGCAAACAGGATATGGATAGAACACGTGAGCTGAGATGCAAAAGAAAAGAGATCGAGTTTGGTTGGCCGTGCACTCGGTGGAGGGGAAAGAACGAAACAAACCAACAGCGCAAGCAAGGCGGCTTCATTAATTTGTTCCAGTTCGTGCTGCTAACAAGTTGCCACCGCCCACGGTTACAGCAGCGACGGTCGCGTTAGAGAAGAGAGCCAAATTCTACATGCCTCCTCGCCAACCATAGCTAGTTGCTCTGGAAGGGTTGCAATAAAAGGCAGGCCTCTCCTCCAGAAAGCTGACTCTGGCCTGGCCAGACCCGCCGTTGGTTGGGATTGGGCATCACTCCGTGGCTTTTTTAGGGCAGCCAGATGCCGGCGACCCATATAGTGCTGCTGGTAGAGGTGGCAGTCAAGCTAACCGGAAGATTCAGTTTCCATAGACTTGTTGTTAGAGAAAAGCATGTAATGTGGGCGGGCGAGGCCTAACTCGAAATACAACCTAGGTTGATGAGGGCACCATAATGACCCTCTGGCCACCATTACCTTGTCCCTTAAATACCCCCGCTCTACCCTATAAAAATTGACTGGTGTTTTGATGTATCGAGAGAAGCCGCTTGCCTCTTCCTTGGCCTGGTGTATTTAAGAGCAGTAGTATTTGACAAAAAAAATATAAGCGGGTTAACATGTGGGCAGTATCTACAAGAAACCGATTAATCCTGATCTTTTTTTTTATTGCTTACAACAGCGTTATATAGCGATGGTAAAGTAGTGACGACTAACAGTAACGACAACAACTGCAACGGGAAGTGACATAGGCAGTGAACACGATGAGACTATTAGGATTTTTTATTTGAGTACAACAAGAATATATATAGACACACAGGGTGGCGATGCTGTCGCTGGAACATAATGCATCGTATTCGTGTTATAACGTAGGACCTCAGCCGAGATCTATAAACCTTCCTTACTTATAAATTTCAAGTTAACGAAACTTGAAGCAGACGAACTATTTTGATCACTCATATTGATTGAACAAACATGTAAAATCATATGTAAGATGTGCCATCACTAAACCATTATTCGCAAGTATTATGACCGTAATGTTTTGTTACACCGTGAACATAAAAATTACTTGGTTGTAATATTTGCACTAGCGTGTAATAGTTATTATCTAACCCTTTGCTCTGTCAGTGTATATTGGATCTGTAAAAATTACCCCCTCAACGACACTGTCCTAATGAGTAGTTAGTAGCTACGGTCACACGTTGGTCAAATTACATAAATGATTGATAACAATTAGCTAATTTTCAATCTTAAAAACATACATACACATCAATTCAAGTGCTTTCGTCTTTTCTTTTTTATGTTGCCTGTCCCCAAGGCGCTACATGCATGAATGTTTACAGCTTTAACTGGCGTTCTTGAAGTTGCATCTGCTGACGCCATGAATATATCCCGGTTCTCATTTCAGTGCCGTTCAAGCTAGACGCGGACCCATTTTTTTCTTGAGCGTCCTGCCAGTAGACAGGAGCTCTCTCGAGGAAAGGACAAGGGGCTCTTCGAATTGTGCTCTCTGGAGAGTTTAAATTTCTTGGTCTTCCCTTGTCCCGATGATACTGCGGCCATGACGAGCTTTGTAGACTAGGCGGCTACAGCAGCAGCGAAGATGACGAGGACGATAACCAACACAGCATGGCTGTTACCTATCGAAGTCAGAAAGAAAGAGCTCCGACAACACGAAGTCAAGAGACAAGACAAGAGCTTACAAATAACTGCTATCAGGAAAAAGTGCGTGGAGAGGATGACGACTTTTAAAGCAATGTTGTGTATGTCATATTTGTCTGCCCCTGCGTGCAACACGGGCTCAGATCGCAGAAGGACTGTTCTGCCGGTAGCGCTTGAACTCAGCGCTATAGAGGGACAGTTAGACAAGAGCACCTCTGGTGACGCTCCTTTCACCAGGAGCAAACTAGCATTTTCAGTATTTCCCGGTCTCAACCCCCGAATGACAACAATAAAATTGATTTTGGAGTAATGCAGCCAACGCCAAATCACCACATAAACGGACAAGGTCACTCCTAAAATTTGCAATTGTAACAAGTCGCTCTTTACCTTCAGTGTAGCAGGGTTACTGGAGGTTGAATATGTTGCTGTTTCGAAGCTCAGAACCTCAACAGGAGCTGGACTGTGGCTGCGAGATCTAGAAAGAGAAACGTTGTCGGCGAAGC